GGCTGTCGACATGGTACCTGTAGTGATATTCTTAATTAAATTAGACTTTCAGAATAGCAGTGGCTTTGTTTAATCTCTCTCCATGCAGCCCCTCCTCCTGCCACCCACACAAAGCATCATAAGAGAGGATCTGACAGTAAAATCCCTGCTATGGAAGCAATTTTGCTGTTACAAACAGTGGATGGCAACATCACTAATGGAATTAGGCTAATTATAGAGAGGACAGCTTCTGTTTAGACACATTATCTGGGTAATCAGCACTGACTGGAAAGAAAATACGGGAAAAAGTGCTGCAGAGTTTTGCTCGATGGGGGCTCTCCATATGCATTTTAGAGCCTGGGGTGTTTCACTCAGAGAGTACCACTATCAAACTGAACACAATGTTGCTGGGGCTGGTCCCTGGAGGCTTTGTCTCTTCTTGGAAATTGTCCATTCCTGAATGCAGCTTCCCTCCTGAAGAGCCAGTGTCCTCTTCTGCAGGGTTCAGTCCCTGGTGTGGAAGTGAGTGTAGCTGTGTAAATCTATGTCTGACCTTCATCTCCTTTCACCCAGAAGAATCTTCTTCCCAAGAACTCTCAGTTGTCCTGTGTAAGCCTGAGCATCTTCCACCCAAACGAGGGGGTTTGAGAAACAGGCTGAGCCAACCCCCCAGCAGGAGCATGTGCTCTGCAATTCCTCTCCCTGCATGGCATGATGTAAAATGGAGACAATGCAGAGAAAGGCTTGATTTACTAGTCAGACAAGTTCATCCAGCCCTGGTAAAATGTCTCTCTGATTTAACACACTTGGTTTGCTTTTCAGGCAGAATTTAACTCCCCTTTGCAAAGCCCTTGCACTTCATTTCTGTAGACTTTGACAGGGTGCTTTATGTCTGGGGAGAAATCAGTGGTGTTTGAGATAGTTAGATGAGCAGATTTGATTACTGTCCCGCTGCTGCAGCAGCAGGATACAAAGGAACAGGCAGGGAAAACTGATAATCACTCAGTCTTTGCGATTGGTGCCGGCCTGACCCCACTGAGCGAGACTGGATTTGGTGACACGTTTTCTCCACGGCATGGTCTGGAGGAGGAGAGTCACCACTGGTGTCTGGGAGCCCAGTGCAGGGTGAATCCTAATGCAGTGCTCTGTCCTTTGCTGCCTGGCAGGTGTGAGAAGTGCTACCTCTGTAAGTCACTGGTGCCACTGCTGCAGTATCAGAGGCACGTGGACAGCTGCCTTCAGGCTGCTAGGCAAGCTCAGGGAACCAGGAGGCTGCGAAGAGCCAAGGTGAGGGGCGACCCTGCACAACATCCCCTTTGCTTTGTGCTGGGTGTGGGGCTGGGCTGGCAGCAGGAGCAGTTTCCCTGGTTGGCAGGGATGAGCTGACCTGATGTAGGATTGCCTGTCCCTGTGGGCCACTGTGGACAGAGAACTCATTGCCCTCCTTCCCACGACGCTCTGTGAGAGCACAGGCCGGTCCCAGGGGTGAGCTAATCCAGCAGAGCTGCCAGCAACCTCTTCAGTGGGCAGGCAGCCAGGGCTGTCCCACTGCCAGCCAGCACGCCTCAGTCCTGCAGCCTTCCTCGGCTGAATGTCGATGGAGCAGAGGCCAGCGTCAGGATGACAAACCTATCTGGATATCCACAAGTCTGTTCCCACAGGGAAGGCTTTAGAGCCAGAGCAAGAGGAATTGCTCAGTGCTGGGAGCGAACGGCAGCGTCCCAGGAGAATTGTGGGGGAGTGAGTGTGGTGGAGGTGTGCTGGGTGTGGGGAATGTGCCTTGCTAGAGAAGGTGGGAGGCAGGAGCGTGGGTGGCAGCTGGCTCACAGTCACTCACCAGGTGTTAGCCCCCACCATGCTTTTTCCTGCTCATGGCAGTCCCAGGGGAGCACAGAGAGGGTCCTTCCAGGCCTTCCTGCTGGCTCCTGCAGGCAAAACTCTAGTGCTGCAGCTTTGCCTGTGCTCAGAAATGTGATTCACAGCATGAAGATGCAACATGATGTCTTAGTTTTGTATAATCCCTTAAATCCATCACAGACCTCAACCCTTTGGGAATTCAGATGTAAATGATGAGATTTCTGGTTGATGATTTTGGCTGGGATACAGCCAAGCACTGTGTGGTTCAGAGTACTGCAGGGCATGCCTGCTCCTGCATGTGACCAGCTCTGTGGGGGCTGTTTGACTGTGTCCCTGTGCCCCACAGCTGGCTGGTGTGTGGTTCCTGCAAGCAGGTGCAAGCATAGGGTATGGGGGAAAGATTCTGAAGCCAGGGGACTCATTGGGAAGGCTCAGCAAGGCTCTATTACCTCTGGCCCTGCCTTTTAGGGTGGCATCTCACTGGGGAAGCCTGGGCATGGGTTGGGCTGTTGCAAAGCTTACTAGTGGAACAGCTGGGCTTACAGTTTCCTGCAACGGCCCATTTTGGGGTGATTTGCAGCTCCAACACCACAGCCAGGATGTCAGTGCCTCCCAGAGCAGTTCTGTGTGTAGAGAGCAGCCAGAAGAGGAGACTTTGCTGGGCCAGTGAGGCTCAAAGCAGCCAGGTCCATGTGGGACCAGCATGGCTGCATCTTCCCAGGGGCAGAGAGGGCCCAAGGTGTGTTCCTAGTCTGGCTGTGCCCTGAAAGAAGTAGGCACAAAACCCCAATACACTTGGACAGAGTGGGACGAGTCTGGCCTTGGACATGCAGTGCTGGAGGATGTGTTCCAGCTGTGTCAGAGCCCCTGATGCCCCCATTTATCACAGCCCTGTGTTTGCTGGCTGGGCTTTGGGGTGGCATCCTGTACCCTGGCCTCCCTCTTTAGCAGGTTCTGTTTGATTAGCTGCTCTCTGCTGCCTCTGCTTGAGCGCTAGTTTGGCTGGGCACAGAGCAGTGCCCTTCCTGTGGATGGCTGGAGGCCCTTGATAGGCAGCAGTCCTTGTGCCCAGCCTGACCCTGAGGGCTGGGGGAACGAGTGCCCACGAGGCCATCATGGCTAAGGGGTTCCCTCATGGCAGTGCTGTGATGGTGGTTCTCCTCTCCTTGGCAGGACACCGGAAGGCAGGAGAGAGGACTCCTCAGGATGCTGGAGCTCTCGGAGAGCAAGTCTGAAGGTGGAAAACTTTCTATGCCAGCCTGGCTGGGTCAGCTCTCCCCTTTTGATCCCGGCTCAGCCTGGGCTGTTCTGGGAGAGCAAATTCCCCTTGGAAGGGTCTGTTCTTTCTGAGCAGAGCAGGAGGCTGTGAGCTTAGCTGGCTGTCAGCATTCCTACTGGACCCACACCAGAGCCCAGAGCCCTCGCAGAAATAGGGGTGTACTCTGAATCATTGCACCAAGACATGTCCAGCTTCCTGGGGGATGTGGGAGGCTTCTGCTGTCCCTGTCTGAGCACCAGTGCTTCCCTCCATGGATCCAAGGACAGGAGAAGTGGGGGGAGAGGAGCTCTTGGCAGCACCCGTGGCTCACGCGGGAGGGCTGATGTGTGCTCTTGTTGCAGGTGCTGACGCAGGGACTCCCCTCACTGGATTAGGAGACCAACAGTCCTCTCCCACACTCTCAGCCGCTGATGGGGAGCCGTCGGCAGACAGCCCCATCTCTCTTCAGCACCTTCCTTTCCATGTCTCCCCTGCGAAACCCAAAATCTCCTTGGAAGCCGTGGACGGTGTGGTGGACTCGGAGCCACACATGGCTCTCCCTGCAGGCAGCCAGCAACGGACCAAAGGCTGCCGCCGGAGAAGGCACAAGTTCTGAGGCTGGCGATGCTGCAGGGACCCCTGGCAGCTCCCTGTGCCCCAGCGAGGGTCTTGTTGGCACTGTACCCTGCTTCACCTGCAGCCTTGTCTCCCGCACACCTTTTATATGTTTTATACAATCTGTGCGGGGAGTGCTGGGTGGAGAGGCGACTGTGTGTTTTATAGGTGCCTGTGCAGCTTTGCTCTCTGTTACAGAAATGGAAATATATTTATGTATGTTTTTATGAAACTGCAGCACCACGGCAGAGCTCTGCTGGCTTTCTCTGGGGAATGGGAGGGTGCTGGGGGGAGGAGAGGAGGAGCAGCAGCAGCAGAGGCTGTGTCCCAAATCACACTTCCCCAGGCCTCTCCTGGAGCTGGGGCTGGTGGGGGGGCTCTGGGCAGGGGGCTGCAGTGTCCTGTGCTCTACGCAGCAGCACAGCACTAAAACATTCCCAGCCGGGAGTGCCAGAGGGCACCTTGGTGCCATCTGACAGCCGCAGTCAGCGGATGCGACGACCGGAGGAGCCACGGCCGCGGTGTCCTCGTGTCCTTGGTGCTTTCCCTGTCCCCGGGTGGCCCAGCCCGCTCCCCGGGGCAGCGGGGCTTGCCTGCCTCGCACCGGGCCTTGGAGGGACCTGCTCCCTGAGGACATCCTCACGGGGAACAGGGAAGGGCGACCCATGCTTCATTAATGGGACGAGCTGGTGCGAAGCTCATTAAACCCCGGGTTTTGAGCAGCGCTGCCGCCCGGCCGGGAGCGGGGAGCGGCCCCTCCCGCGGGTGGGGCCCGCAGCGCCGCCGCCCATTGGCCGCGGAGGGGCCGGCTCGCGGCGGGGCGACCAATGGCGGGGCGGGGCGCGGCTGTTGCCAGGGGGACGGCGGCG